AATTACGCACTGCGCACTTATAAACATTTCACTTATCTATATATATAAAAATGAATTGCTGTTCGTTAGTCTCGCTAAAACTCGAGGACGGCTGGACCGATTTGGCTAATTTTGGTCTTGAATTATTTGTGGAAGTCCAGAGAAGGTTTAAAAGGTAAATAAATATGAAAATGCTCGGAATTAAATGAAAATAACAATTTTGTTTTTCCTTTGATGTGTCCCCCGTCAGGACGGATTCCTTTTGTTTTTTTTTTTAAGTTTATTTTATACAAAAGTTTAGGTTTTTTTTTTATTGCTTGTATGTGTGGACGAGCTCACAGCCCACCTGGTGTTAAGTGGTTACTGGAGCCCATAGACATCTACAACGTAAATGCGCCACACACCTTGAGATATAGTTCTAAGGTCTCAGTATAGTCACAACTGCTGCCCCACCCTTCAAACCGAAACGCATTACTGCTTCACGGCAGAAATAGGCGGGGCGTTGGTACCCACCCGTGCGGACTCACAAGAGGTCCTACCACCAGTAATTACGCAAATTATAATTTTGCGGGTTTGATTTTTATTGCACGATGTTATTCCTTCACCGTGGAAGTCATTCGTGAACATTTGTTGAGTACGTATTTCATTAGAAAAATTGGTACCCGCCTGCGAGATTCGAACACCGGTGCATCGCTCGATACGAATGCACCGGACGTCTTATCCTTTAGGCCACGACGACTTCCACGGTTATCGGTTGAGGCAGTACGAAGTCTGCCGGGTCAGCTAGTTAGTAATAAAAACTGTTAGCCCTGTAACAATCAATCTATACATATAAATAAAATTGGGGTGTCTGTTTGTAATATTGAAATAACCGCTTTTTACTACATGCATATGAATATATATACGGTATACACCAAAATAACACTTTTTACAATTTTGTCTGTCTGTCTGTCTGTCTGTTTGTTCCAGCTAATCTCTGGAACGGCTCGACCGATTTTGACGGGACTTTCACTGACCGGTAGCTAATGATATAAGGAGTAGCTTAGGCTACTTTTTGTAGACTAGCTTCGCCCCACGGCGTCACCGGCGGTACGAAAATAACCGCGGGTAACATCGCGGGACTCGACTATCAATAATAAAATTTAATGTTCCCGAAGCGAGGGAAGGCGGGTCGTTAGTATTAATATATAATATTAATATGTAATCATTTCACTTGTACATACAGGCAGACTTCTGTTAGGTGCACTTTGACATCAGCTTAGAAAGTTCGAGATATACGAGTGCGATATACTCGGTATAAATATATAGATATACATATATACAAGCGAACACCAAAAAAACATAATCGTAGTATGGGGAGCCGATGTCCCCGCGGCGTCACGCGTCACGGCGTGACTCCGGTGCTCGTTATCAGCGCCGTCCCCGCCGAGCAGTCGGTCGCGTCCGGGGCGCCCACTGCTGGAGCATTGCTCGTTGACCAAGTTTTAGATGAAGAAATCGTTTGGCCGACATCGATCGCTACAACGCCGGCCTCATGCGCTCTGCTCTTTGAAAATCACACTATTATTTTCTTTTTGGTATTTCGAAGTAGTGGGACGATTAAAATAAATATACATTGAGACACGTGACGCCATCCAATAGTACCCGTGGACCTGTAGCTTGGGAATATTGACGGAGATTTAGTGTCGGACTCATTCTTAGACACATATAAATCTGAACGTCACAGGGAAGTAATAGTTAAAATTAGAATGATTGGAATTTATGTGCGAAACACATTACAATAAGCATTATAATTTTTCATAACATTTACCTCGCATGGAACTCTCTGCGCACCCTTGATGGACTGGCAGAGAATGCCTTGAGTATTAAGTCCGCTTACGTATCTATAATGGTTAATGCTTAAATATTAGTAAATTATAAGAACAAAAATTACTATTTTGATTTATTTATTAATACGCTTTTATTATTATTATAGCTCCATACGTATGTTAGTATGTATCGGAAACTTTGAACTTGATTTTGACCACCTTCAAAATGTTGTACTAGATCGAAATTTGGCATAAACATAAAGGACCGATGACAATTAAATATTTTAAACAGTAAGTCCCGTTAGGTATCCTTACGAGGATAATCAATATTATCAATGTTTTGTTGCAACTAGCTCCCAATTTTAAAAGCTCTTCCACCAAATGAACAAATGTTATCGAGTAACAGTTTCGGCCTCACACAATATGTGAGCCATTTACGAACTAGTTCAGGTACATCCTAATAATTAGGAAATATACAGAACTTATTAGTTTTATAATATAATTAATAATTTTATAATAAAGTATAGTTGATTCATCTTATACCTTTAAACGAGCAATTCTTGTATATTAATATATACTTATATAATCTGAATCTCGGAAACGACACCAACGATTTTCATAAAATTTAGTATAGGGGGGATTTTGGGGGCGATAAATCGATCTAGCTACGATTTATTTTCAGAAAATGTTGTTTTATTCGTGTTTTCAATAATCAACTCTTCCCGACATCTATTGGCGAATAATAATACTATTTTTCTTAATTGAGGGTAACTAACCGCTTCAAAGACACAATAAGATGGCGTTATCATCTAGTATTTCTTTATATATAATAAATTCATTTATTACATTTCAGGTACACAGTGATAACAACACAGAGCTCCGCTCCGTTCGACTGCTCGGACCGGAACGTTTTGTGCGACAATGGTCACTCGTATTTATAGTAGAAAGGGGGGGTAGCTTTTTCTTGAATACCGTCTTAAACAGCTGTTTAACTATTTTTATGTTACTAAATAGTAACGTTGCGCCGACATATAGGTACATATGTATTATACTTAGTCTGGCCATAAATACTGTTACAATTAAAAATAAACAAAATATTACGTTTGAATTTGGAATCTGTCATTTTTATATGATTGCTCATTGAGTTTTCTCATTTTGGCGCCAATACATTGTACAATATTTTGCGATATTAAAATGGAATGGGGTGATAAAGAGAACCGAATCGCTGTGATTGCATTACACAAAGTAGCCAAAATAGCCAAAGTAGCCAAATGCAATTTTTAAAACTCTCCATACGCTTGGTATTAGTAAAATGTTTGTGTACCGGGCACCTATTAATAGGTGCAATGAGACCTCCTCTGTTTGTGACAGAAAAAGATATGGCCGTTTACGTAGTGTTCGAACGAAAAAGGTGGTCAAAGCAGTAAGGGAAAGAATTCGAAGAAATCCTGTCCGAAAGCAAAACATTTTATCTCGGGAGATGAAGATAGCACCTAGAACCATGTCGCGTATTTTAAAAGATAACTTAGGACTTGCAGCCTATAAGAGACGTACTGATCATTTCTTAACTGATAATTTAAAAGAGAATAGGGTGGTAAAATCGAAACAACTACTGAAGCGGTACGCAAAGGGTGGTCATAGAAAAATTTTGTTTACGGATGAGAAATTTTTTACAATTGAGCAACATTTTAAGAAACAGAATGATCGTATTTACGCTCAAAGCTCTAAGGAAACTTCCCAATTAGTCGACAGAGTGCGACGTGAGCACTATCCGACTTCAGTGATGGTTTGGTGGGGTATTAGCTATGAAAGAGTGACTGGGCCATACTTTTGTGAAAAAGGTATCAAAACATGGGCACAAGTGTATCAAGATACCATTCTTGAGAAGGTAGTGAAGCCCCTTAACAACACCATGTTCAATAATCAAGAATGGTCCTTCCAGCAAGACTCAGCGCCAGGTCATAAAGCTCGGTCTACGCAGTCTTGGTTGGAAACGAACGTTTCGGACTTCATCAGAGCTGAAGACTGGCCGTCGTCTAGTCCCGATCTTAATCTGCTGGATTATGATTTATGGTCAGTTTTAGAGAGTACGGCTTGCTCTAGACGCCATGATAATTTGGAGTCCCTAAAACAATCCGTACGATTGGCAGTGAAAATTTTTCCCATGGAAAGAGTGCGTGCTTCTATTGATAACTGGCCTCAACGTTTAAAGGCCTGTATTGCAGCCAATGGAGATCACTTAGAATAAGCTTTTTATACTTTAAATTGTTTTATATTTATATATTAAACTAACACACTGTAAAAGTAATAAATGTTATTTGCAATAGAATTGTTTTTATTTTTTATTGTAACAGTATTTATGGCCAGACTAAGTATTTAAACGTAATATGTAAGTATACCAGTGTCTTACCCTTAATATATGGAATCCCAGTTTGAGACCTTATAAACGATTTGTTTCCGGCTATTCATTTAAACTCTAACCGGCGGGGCGGGGTCGCACGGAGGGGGCGCGGCGCTCACGGCAACACGCGCTATTGTCGATAATGTCGCTGTGTCTGTCATATCTCTTGTTTATCGTATTTGTTATTTAAAGACATCCTTAGGCACTGTAGAAACGTGCATGACCGAAATAGATGCAAGACATTTCAGAGAACAACAATAGACTAACTAGTAAACAAGCAAGTGCTCGATCTGTCAATGTTTACTGCCGCTGTGTCAACTGACACGTCGTTCAGAACTACGAAGCCGCGCGGGTCGGCTCCTCCACTCTGTATCAAACTTGACATTGTTTGGGCCAATCGACAGCCTGTCCGGGTGTGAATGTAAGAATGTAATGCGACCCCGTCCAAGTTCGGGCCTTACAGTGAGCGGTAGTGGTGAGTCCGCGCGGCCCGAGACACCCTGGCCAGCTCACGTGGTCATATATCATTCCGTCACGCGTCATTCTAAAAGCTTCCGTCGTCTTTATAGATGCTTCCGCTGGGAAGGTGTTGGTACTTGTGGATCTGAGCATTGCAACGCGTTGCCTCATCCAGACAACTCGAACTGGACGTCATTTCACGGCTACTCCTGTTCACAACTACTTAAATAGCCTAGATCCGGTCGCCACACCCGCCGGACGATACAAGTGTCTCAACCCAAGCCCAATATTATAATAAGCTGAGATCTAGGAGGTCGGTGCTCTCTGTTAATGTCTTATTAATGAGCCGGTACGCATTTCGTCCCTCGGATTGTTGCGAGATTCTAAATGAGCTGCAACATTTCTGCTATAGTATACCCGGCGCTACGAAAACGAACCTCGCAGTCGACAACAATAGAAATATGTAGTAAGTTGCTTGTCATGATGATGTCAATTTCACTCAAGATTTTTTGGATTCGCTACTCGTTCACAACGAACTCCCTCCTCTTTATACTAATATCTAACTCATATACTACTTAATATCTAACGAACATACAAACAGGCACACATACAAACACACAGACAGACACACAGCTGATAAACTGACATCTCGACTGAACGTATTTGATTTCATTGCATTTTCAGGTAACAGGTGTTGTTTGCGAAGCGATATAAACGCGCGGAGGAGTACGGCTCCCGTGTTTGTACAAGACATAGAACAGAATCCTTCTGCAAACTACGGAGATATCAAGATTATATCATTAACGTATAAAAGTGTGTGCGGGACGACAGTACGAGGAGTGTCCGCCCGAGGACGGTCGCGTCGGAGCTGCCAGCCGCATCACCGTCTCGGAGCGCCCAGCCCGGCCGGTAGCCGTACTTGCGCGATGGCGGTGGGGCAGGACGCGGGCGCCGCTCGTCCCGCCGAGGAGATCCCCCACGACCACCTGTACAAGGTGACCGGCTTGTCCTCCACTAATCTACAGAAACTCGCACAAGGTACGTACGGCACTCGACTCATCACACAATCTCGCGGCCACCAGGTAGACCGGTGCTACGTACTGCGGGTGTGCCGCTGCGGCGAGGGAGACAGTCGGGCTACCACGCGACGCGCCTCTCTGCACACCGATTTAAATTTTGTAGCAGCCATTGCAGATCTTTCGTTCAGTCACAACGTCTTTTTAAGTAAATCGTTTTTCTCCCACCTTTCGAAAAAAAAATACATTTTGATATGTCGGTAACACAGACATCGCCGACTCGACTCGACATCGCCGGGTTATCCTGAAACTAAAAGAAACACAAAATATGCGTTTAATACACTACTGCAATAAAGGAAGGAACAAAACAATTGTATGTATGCATGTATGTATGTATGCATGCTCTGCGGATCTGCGGAGAACGGTGTCGTAGCGTCATTTAAATAATCAATAAAGCATAAAGCTAACTAAAAAAGGTTTAGTGAAAACACACACATTAACAGTAGACCGGGTTCAGACTTAAATAAATAGTTTTTTGTCCTGATGATCCTGGCCAGGATATCAGGTCGTAAAGATGGTGCTTTCTCATCGGTACTTGATGTGTGTGCAAATTTACGCTTAATCGGACGTCTGAGAGTTAGTTAAAATTAAGTTAAATGATTCCGTCCGATCACATAGACATAGAGATACGTGAAAGCTAACAAAAGCTTGTTAAAAACAGCTTGTTCTGGCCTTACCATTCAAGTGTCGGGTTGAATCGGAAATGGCTGAAAGGGAAGCTGACACATAAGCAGCTTATAAATAGCTTGGATTAACACGAGCAACTCTTTATGTCGGGAGAATGCAATGTGTCTCATTATTGTCAAGTCTAGTTGAGACAGAGACGCCGGTGTCGCTGCAGAGCGACAGCAATCGTTTTGTCAATGTTCGCGAGTTGTCCTTTCGCTATACCTAGCCTTTTTATCAATGAAAATGATAGTGATGAAAAAACACTTCGCTCAATGACCCACGAGAAGTCCTCGTAGAGAATTATCCAAGCCCACTGAGTGTGCGCCGGTTCTTCTCAGTGGGTCGCGTTTCCTAACCGGTGGTAGATTCTGCGAAGCACGGTTCTTGCCAAGGCTAGTGTTAGCAAGTTCTCTCTTAGGCTACCAGCGAACTGGTAGGGGAAAAAAACTAGCCACCCTGCCCAATCAGTCCTTGTGATGTGTCGAACATCAGCCCTTATCAATTTAAAAGGTATTCATTTCCCAATATAATTTACTAAAGAACATCAACAATCAACAATAATTAAAGTCCTCGTGACCTAAAGGATAAAACGTCCGGTGCATTCGTGTCGAGGGATGCAACGGTATTCGAATCTCAGGCGGGTACCTATTTTTTAAATGAAATACGTACTTAACAAATGTTCACGATTGACTTCTACGGTACAGAAATAATGTCGTGTAATAAAAATCAAACCCGCAAAATTATAATTTGCGTAATTACTGTTGATAGGACGTCTTGTGAGTCCGCACGGGTAGGTACCACCACTCTGGCAATTTCCGCCGTGAAGCAGTCATGTGTTTCGGTTCGAAGGGTGGGGTAGCCGTTGTTCTGTAAAAATTGAAACCTTTGTACTCATATCTCAACGTAGGTGGCGGCATTTAAGTTGCAGATGTCTATGGGCTCCAGTAACCATTTAACATCATATGGGCCGCGAGCTCGTCCACCCACGTCAGCAATAAAAAAACAACGAAAGAAAAGCACAAAGTTGGTAACAATGATAAGGAATAAGTTGAGCTGGCTGGTTGCGCTTAGCTGGGCTCCGACAAACATTTGTTAATCGATCCTTGAAGTCAGGACGCGAATCGACATGTTATTAGATATATGTTAAGATAGATAAGATATGATAGTTTCACTAACTATATCATTATATTATTATTAAATCAAAGTCTACATCATGAGGTCAGTGAAAACAGTAAATTGAAGTTGTTATTCAGCTACCCTGCCCACTTCGGGCCTGCGTCCAGCATCGGCACGGTCGGCTTGCGATGGGTTCATTTAAAAACTAAACAATTCGATCGAACATAAAGTCTTAAGCATCAACACCTCGCAAGGAGCGACTTCAATACGATCACATCCCACAAAGAGAAAAACGATCTCGTCCAAAAGTTCGACCCTCAGCTAGAACACCAGCTCGCTCTCTCTCGCTGGGCTTACTCAGCAGTCAGTGGGCCGCGACCCACGCCCGCGGTACGTTCTATGAGTGCGAACCCGCAATCCGGTAGGGAAATGTTTTGATGAAAGACTGCTGCTGCGTAATAAGATAAGTTAAACGTTAACACGTATTATCTACTAGAAGAACGTTGGTGTAAACAGTGCACATTCCTCACTTCCTCATAGAGGTATTATTGTAAACAATAACAATCAGACAATTTTCCTCTAAGCTCCAATGAAATACCGAGAAATTAGAAATTTCATGTGAAAATAAACTGTGGAGGAATTCGAATAATTAGAGAGAACGAAAACAAGCGTCGTCTGAGCGCGGTCTGGATGTATTCGAGTCGCTGGAGGGCTGCCAACCGCCGCCGCCGCCGGCCTCTGTCCTCTACTGCGCAGTCTGGCGCTCTCAGTGCTCTCTACTGCCCGAGGGGGGTGCTCTAAGGAACTGTTAGGGATGAGCTCGTCGCCGAGTAGTTTGGCTCGACTCTCGCACGACCCCAAGGAGCCAAATACCTGTATGACGATACCCTCCCATCGATTGCAACATGTAGACAAGCCGTTGCAGGCGTTCCTCTGGAGGTCTAAAGCCGCGCGGCACAGCAACACCTGCTGCGTGCGTACCGCGCAAGTTCCCTTTGTAGCTATCGCGTTATTTTAAAAAGTTGAGGAATATGAAGTCGTCGTGGCCTAACGGATAAGACGTCCGGTGCATTCGTGTTGAAGCGATGCACCGGTGCTCGAATCCCGCAGGTGGATACCAATTTTTCTAATGAAATACGTACTCAACAAATGTTCAAGATTGACTTCCGCGGTGAAGGAAGGAAAATTAAACCCGCAAAATCATAATTTGCGTAATTACTGGTGGTAGGACCTCTTGTGAGTCCGCGCGGTTGGGTACCTGCCTATTTCTGCCGTGAAGCAGTAATGCGTTTCGGTTTGAAGGGTGGAGTAGCCGTTGTAACTATACTTGAGACCTTAGAACTTGGCGCATTTACGTTGTGGATATCTATGGGCTCCAGTAACCACTTAACACCAGGTGGGCTGTGAGCTAGTCCACCCATCTAAGCAATAAAAAAAAAATATGAATGTCTTATTTTGTCACGTAAACAATGTGACTTTTTCGCGAAGACCTGGTGAACGAAGTCGTCGATTGTATAAATATTGTATTTATTAATGTTTCGTTTTACTATTTATTTGACGATTAGAACACGCAGCACCCGAACCAGAGGCCGCGGACTTTGAGGAAGCGATAGCAGCGACGGGATACGGCAAGTTCAATCTGTGTCTGATGCTGTGCAGCCTGCCCGCCTTCTTCAGCGCAGTCTCCGTCACCAGCTCCACCTCGTACATCTTCTCGCGAGCGCAGTGCGACATGAACTTGTCTCTCTTGGATATGGGAACTGTGACGGCCATGACTTACGGAGGTATGTTCATAGCATCGCGCCGCGTCGCACCGCATCGCATCGCGTAGTCCGCTCGGTCCAGCGCCGAGCTGAAGGTCGCGGTCACCTCGTGTGAGTGTTGTTCCGCGGTAGCCAAACACGCGTAATGACTCTTTGTTTTAGGATTCGTCTTACAAATATTATGTTATAGAGATATGTTATCTGTAACATTGGCACAACAACCGTAGATTCAGTGGAGATAAACCAAATGTAACTTGGTATGATTGCCGATATTGCATCATAGAGACTTCTTTTAATTTTTTATTTTATTTATTAATTTATAACATTTTATTGCACATAGACGATTGAACGAATTTAACGTCCATCTGGTGGTAAGTGGTTACCGGAGCGTTGATGGCCTTGAGATATGAGGTCTAAGTATCAACTACCAGCCACGGCTGCTGGGGACGGTCCCACCGGAATCGGATCACATTACTGCTTCGCGATAGAAACAGGCAGATCGGTAGAAGCCCCCCGTGCGGGCTCGCCACGCGCCACGCTCACTACCAGTCGACCCTAGTGGCCATCGAATTCGAATTATTTCAAAATATTAAGTTACCGGAAGTTGGAAGAGACCGAAGGCGGTGGGTATGTCGCATCGCATAGCCTAATGGCAGAGCAGGGAGTTACACCGTAGTTCCTACAGGACCTGATGTAACCTGGCCGATTCAGTCACCTCTTCGGGGAAACTAAAGGTTTCGTTTTACAATGATGAAGGAAGCCATCATGACGAACAACTACGGAAATATATCCTTGATGCGGCGCGTATTGTGAGGAGGTTTCTCACTCTGGAGCCCTAACCGCTGGTTGCTTGTGTCGTAGACACCGCCATCAGCGGCAATCTGTTTTTATATAGTGTACCTATTTAAATAAATATATTTTGATGGGGCGCATTGTCCTTACTACTCGCGTTTATATACGCGCTGTTCACTAGTAAAGCGTTTCCAGGAATGATATCGTCCGCGATGGTGTGGGGCTTCCTGTCGGACACGCTCGGCCGGCGCCAGATCATGGTGTGGGGCTTCTTCTGCTCCGGCCTGGTCGAGCTCACGGCCGCCATGAGCCAGAACTTCGCCACGCTCTTAGTCATGAGGTTCGCCAGTGGCTTTCTGTGAGTATATGTTGAGTGTCACACACATCTGTGTAATGTTCACTGTCTTTTAAATGTATTATCAATAGTCGTCAGGCGTCTGCTGGATCCGCAAGGGAGGTGCCACCGTTCTGTCTATTTCTGCCCGGAATAGTCACGCGGACTGCTGTTAAGGGTAGAACAACTATTGTTATCAGACAGTGACGCCTTTGACGTCATCTCTCCAGGCGGCTGGTGGCGCCCCTGCTGCCTGTGGGTTCCGGTGACCTTGAACATAGGATATAGGTACCAGTGCAGATAAGGTAAGGCGTCGAGGAGACCCAGGAGTGAAATTGAACTAAGATGAGCGCACTACAATGATGGCCGGTAGCCAGGAACGCACTAAGCCACGGGGCTCGCCTTCGATTCCAGGTCGGAGTCTGTCTCATCTTATGGCATTTAATATAGTCTCACATGTGTACTTGTGCACATCTCCGGCATCCATAGCACCAGATGTCGCAATGAGACGACGTTTGTGTCGGTCATATGTTTGAGAATAATTTACTTATTCTGTAAATTGTAAGGACCTCACCATAGCCTCCCGACCCTGAGCGTGATGGTGGTGTGTGTGCACTCCCGGTAATTAGGTATATGACTAGTTATATTCCCTACATAGTCGAGTAAATAGTTGAGCTTAAAATACAGTAGAAACGTGTTGGCACACAAGGGGCGCGCGCGTCGCCGGTGCGGGCCACCACACAGCCGCATGCGACTATAAAAACACAATAACTTTTGAAGCCAAGGTCTGCAGCTAGACGAGCACGTGTCGAACCGCCGACGTACGAAGCATTTGTCTATTGAAAAAACGTGCCACTCTCTCGTGCAAGCATCTTTAAACTCCATGTCTAATACTTAAATATTCCAGGTCTTCATGTGTTCAAAATATATTTGTTTTGCAAATACATATTAGTACATACTTGTATCATAAAGAAGAAAGTTAATTATCCACGGAGATGAGATGGCTGCAAACAGTCTATATTTAACGCATTGAACGCGAGGCACGTGCTCGAGTATCCATCCGCAGACAAGCCAGTGCCACGCTCACGCGCTGCGTCTTCCACCGACGCGACGCGACGCAGATGTGCGAGCGTCGGTACAGAGACACATTAAACATAATTTATTAGTAAATACATTTTGACTTTAACGGAATTAAAGCTGCACTTTAATGTATTACTATTTTAATGCGCGGAACATTCGACAGAACGAGCTGTTGTACAATACTGCGGAAGGTGAATTGTATCCGTCGATATCATTGGGCCTCCGGTTTGAAAATTTTATCGGTAGTCAAATCATTAACATAATATAAATTAACCGAGTCTTATATTTTCATTAAAATCGAATAGTGGACTTTACCAAATAGCATTAAATAGTATTGTGTTCTGCTTGTCTTATACTCTAGTATTTTTACTGGTAGTATTGTAGACATATGTATGTACATTATATACATATTATTATAATATATATATACTAGCGACCTGCCCTCGCTTCGCTTCGGAGACCATCATTTATTCTTGATTTTATTGAATTTTCTTTTATACAAATCTGAACCTGAGAAAATGATGTAATATAGGATGTTGTATAGCGAAGTGTTTGTAGTACCACCATCAGGTTCTACCACGAGGCTCTCAAAACACTTTGTCAGCCCTGCCATTCCCCTATCCCCTGTCTATTGCCTAGTCAATTCTGGCTGCTTCTGGCAATTCGTAGAGCTACAAATGTATTTTACGGCCTTTCAATTGATACACCATTTTAATTGAACCCTGCCAACGTATTTTGCAACAGACAGGTGTTGGTAAAAGTTCATTGTTTTTCAATATACTAACCGTGAAAGATGCATTAAATTTTCTTGAATAGCTTTTGTAGCTCCAAATGACGTCATTTGAAAGCAATTATTGTATTGCTGGATATGAGTCAAAAAATGCTTAGAATCTGGTTTATTTCCAATGAATGTCCTATTTCCAAACCAATAAATGTGGCTCCGGTGGCGGTACCTATTGCGTCAATTTGAGTCGACCGCTCGCACAACACAATCCAGGAGCTTCATTTGTATACTTAGATGCCTTGAAATATTGGCGCACAACGTTTATTGGTCCAGTAGCAACTGTGAAATTCAATTTTCTTATATCCCCGTATTTTATCAATACAACTTCAACTGAAGCATTTGTTTTAAAGGACATTCAGTTTTATTGCCTTCTCTATGAGGATATTTGCAGCACGCATTCTGTCAATGTTATGTCAAACGCCATAAGGTTACATTAGAAAATTTCATATGGTGATTAAGTTTTTATAGCTTTCCTAATTTTCCGCGCAATTTTCCTATTTTTTCTTTGATAAGAACCTTCTCCTGGTAGTAACAAACACAACAACAAAACAATTAGCGCAATCGGTCGAGCCGCTCGCGCGTGATGTCGTCACCAAGCGAAATAGGGATTCATTTTTATATACAAAGATGCTTCGCACCGGTTATTGTAGTATTACGAGAGTCAGTTTCATTTTATTGAATTTCAAATCATAAAGGTGTTAACGAAAATTTCACTTCAATAAAAGTAAAATATATTAAAATAATCTATCTAATATATAAAATTCTCGTGTCACAGTTTTCGTTGCCATACTCCTCCGAAACGGCTTGACCGATTTTGATGAAATTTTTTGTGCTTATCCGGTATCTATGAGAATCGGCCAACATCTATTTTTCATCCCCCTAAATGTTAGGGGTAGTCCACCCCTAAATTTTTTTATTTATTTTTTAGACAAAATTTTTAATTTCTATTTTTGTATGATACAACATACAAAAATACATACAATCGTCAATTTTCACCCTTCTACGATCAACCCTTATTTTTTATTTGTTAATTATAAACTTTAATTTTTTTGGCAAGATTTTCATTTTTATTTTTATTTTGTCATGAATTAAAATAAAAAATCTGATGTTACTCTAAATTTTTCATCCCTCTATGATCAACCCCTATTTTTTATTTGTTAATTATAAACTTTAATTATTTTGGCAAGTTTTTTATTTTGTTTTGTCATGACTTAAAATAAAATAAAATCATATTACTCTCAATTTTCACTCTTATACGATCAACCCCATTTTTCTATCCCGATTAATATTTTTTTATTCTATGCACAGATCCGCAATAAGGTTGCAAGATGGCAATCAAATATTAAAATTGTAGTACGATAAATTCTTATTCAGAGTTTATAATTTCAAGTTCCTTTAATTATGTTTTTTTTTTAAAATTGAATTTGATCTCCCGCCCTCGCCGGTCGACTACTGATCAACTATCCCCGCCAGGTGTCACCACTCATCCAGCAAACATCACGTAGTAGGGATGAGGACGAAGCCGGTCTCCTGTCTTACTTACTCACTATACATCATAGATTATACACTTAATATATGTGAGAGCTATACAATACTATACATTTTTCAGCCATGTTTTTTTGGTTTTATTTGTGTATCAATAGTATGTTCAGTAGGTCTGAGAATCGGCTACTATCTATTTTTCATACCCCTAAGTGAAAAGGGTTGTCCACCGCAAACATTTATTTTTTATTTTAATTTTTTGGATTTTTTTTTTGTTTATAATGAGGTATTATGTGGTTAAATGAGGTTTTTTTTTCTGCAGTAGAATTTCCCTAGAAATCTTATTTAAGGCAACACAACGTTTGCCGGGTCAGCTAGTATACCTATATAAAAATGAATTGCTGTTCGTTAGTATCGCTAAAACTCGAGAACGGCTGGACCGATTTGGCTAATTTTGGTCTTGAATTATTTGTGGAAGTCCAGAGAAGGTTTAAAAGGTAAAAAAATAAAAAATGTTTTTCCTTTGATGTGTCCCGTCGGACGGATTCCTTTTGTTTGTTTTATGTTTATTTTATACAAAAGCCTTTTATTTATCGATTGAGGCACTACGAAGTCTGCCGGGTCAGCTAGTTTGTAATAAATTTTAATACTTCGTCCTTGGGTATCTCTTACGTCGCGACCTGAACCCCGCGCCCTAGGAGCTGGGAGCTAGGAGCTGGGAGCCAGACGTATCGTGGTTTCAGGTTCAACGGGCCGTTCGCGGTTCTGATCTCGTACATCGCGGAGCTGCACCGCACGGAGCTGCGCGCGCGCGTGATCCTGCTGAGCAGCCTGTTCTACACGCTCGCCAGCACCACGCTGCCGCTCCTCGCCTGGGCCCTGCTCGACGATCAATATACCATCACGATATATCCGGGCTATTTCGGTAATTATCTACACTTTGCAATCTAATAGATATTTGATTCGCAATGATCTCCGTGTTAGCACCAGACGGCGCGCCGGTCTGGCTGGCTCCCTGGCGACGGTGGCTTCTGTCAAAAAACAAATTAACATATATGTAATAAGAAAGTTCATCTTATAATTTGTATTATTTCCGCAAATGTAAACATTTCCAGTACAACACTTCCACAATTGTTCCAAGATTTTACTGTGTGTCAGACTTTACGAACATACAAAAACATCCACAGTGCTTCATTCGTGGAACATATTCTTGCTGACGACGGGTCTGGTGCCCCTTCTCACGGGGATCGTCTTCCTCTGTCTGCCAGAGAGTCCTAAGTTCCACATGTCGCGCGGCAGAAACGATGAAGCTATGGCTACCTTCCGCAAAATATACTCCCTGAACACGGGGAAGCCTGCTGAGGAGTTCCCAGTGAGTATGCTAACCAGTTTGAGCTCCTGCGGCAAACAGACTATCGTTGCATTCGTACCGAGCGTGGCGGGGTTTAGCACGCTCGTACTCGACACGCACCATCACCCATTGTGGACGAAGCGCACAACTTAGGTTTTTGCAAAAACCTTGCGTTACTCAGTGAAAGTCACGTTGAATTACTTTCAGATAAAGAAGTTGGTGGAAGAAAAGCAAGAGCGTCAGAGGGGCGGAGTGGCGGCGCTGCGGGGCGGAGGGGCACAGCTGGCGCCACTGTTCCGCGCTCCCTACGGCAAGTGGTTGCTGCTAATGTGCGTGCTGCATGCCGGATCTATGTTTGGGTATAAAACTTATATTCACTAGCACGTGCTATAGTTTATGGGTAACATTTTTCTTTGTGGCGGTAGCTTGTATGGTAGCTACATAGGATATTTGACAGATACCTAAATCTCGCTTACAAAATTTTCAAGATAAACTTGCATATGCCTGGATCAATTTTGGAAACAGTCCGACGCCGTGGCCCACGTTTTTTTTTTACTTTATTGATGCACAAAACAAATTACAATCATTACAGTAAATATTAGCTAAATCGTAGGTACAAGTAGTACCTAAATCTAACCTGGATTGCAATCTAAATGGTATATGACTCAGCAAACGCGTATAATATATAATACGCGTATAAATGTATATAGTGTTCCGTTGCAGCAGGCGGCGCAGCTGGAATGACTGTGCTACATATTGGATTCATTCAAATGTTACAAACAAAAGTAGCATCAACTTCCACCAGTTTCCGATACATACTACAACATCGGACTGCGGTCGTCTCTATAAATTGCTGACGTACCCTCGCGCAGGTCGAACACCGTCCGACTGTGGTACCCGCACCTCGCTGCCATGCTGGGGTCAGACGACGCGGACAGCCTGTGCTCGGCCATCGCCCCCAGCGCGCCCCCGCCCCCCGACGGCGGCGCGGCCCCGCCCTGCCTCCCCGTGCACACGGACATGCACACGTACCTGCAGAGCGCGGCAGTGGGCGCGGGCTCCGTGCTCACCTACGGTATCGGAGGAGTGCTCATCAATAGGTAAGTTGTTTTTAACCACTTTATGTAGCACACGAAAGATAAAATATGAAAATCAACACTTTATGGACATTATTTACCTTTTCCGGGGGGCGCAATTTAGTTTTCGCAAAGAAAATTATATATGTAGGTATATGTACACGTACATAACTTTGGCACAAAATAAAACCTTTGATTGTTTGAAGTCATGGTTTCACTACAGTTGTTATTCGTGGCAGGTGTGGCAAGAAGCTGGTGACCGGTTTCTGCGGCATAGCGAGCGGCGTGCTGCTAGCCGCGCTGCCGTCCCTGGGCACCAGCTCAGTGTCCGTGGTCACCGTGGTGACCGCCGCGCTGGCGCTGACCGCCCTCAGCGCGGCCTCCATGTCCAGTATTGCTGTAGATTTATTCCCGACGGCACTGAGGTATGGAGGAACGCTCATACGACTTCATAACAAGGAATATTTATAAATTCGATGTAGGTATTTGATTTTGTTGTAACCTCGCTACCGTTTCAAGGGACACCGGTTTTTTGATTTGATAAAATGTTATCAAGATTTGATAAGTTGTTTTTGAGTTTTTTTTTTATGAATGAGGAATTACTGGTGGCTCTAAGATTTTTCCAATTTCACCAGGACAGGTGGGCGAGCAAAGGTTGAAACCTGACAACTCAAGAGCAACTGCTTCGCGAATACTACCAGATCGGAATCGCGACCCGCTGAGAAGATCCTGCGAGAAACTCAGCGGGCTGGTGCATGGGTTAGGTTGCACGTCGAACTCTTTGTCGAGTTCGACGAGTACGGTTACCGGGTCCCTAAGCTTGCTCCTGGTGTTAGAGTTGAATGCGTCTAATGCAATAGTTATTGAATCTGATGTTATCTTGAACACATAATGCATAGTTAATTGACTTCGACATTAGCCCAGTGTGTTTTCGCCGGATCTTTTTAGCGGGTCGCGATACGGACACGGTGGTAGATTCTGCGAAGCGTTGCTCTTGCTAGGCCCGTAAGCTCGCCTGCACGTTCAGTGAAGCCTGCGTAGCCCCCGAAGTCACAAGCAATAGATAGCAAAAAAGGCTATATTGATGAAATTTCGTTTTCCTTGTTAAAGTTGGTTTCCTTTATAGTTAGGTATAATTCTGTATCATAATAGTAATCCATAAATGCTGCGAAATATTTATATGAATTGTGGAGATTATTTATTATCATTCCGGGCTTTAAGTGTTTACGTGTGGTTACGCCCACAGGCATCACTACAGGAATGTCACAACCCTCCGCCTTGAGACATGAGATCGTAGTCTCAATCCTGTTTATATAAAGACTGTCATCATTGAAACCGAAACGCATGACTGCTTGGCGTCCCCAGGGTGCGCCCTGCCCGCAGGACACCGTCCAGTCAGTGTGGTCTGCTACACGCACCGCGTCAGCACAATTCCCTAGGAACTGGTAACTGCGAGCTGCAACCGGCACTCACGATAACCGGAAATGTATTGCTCACTTAGCATTTGGCTGTTTTGTTTTGAACGCTTTGTCGAGCGTTTAGTCCAGGACGTATGAGAAGAGACCATCCGAGCAGCTAAGAGTCGCTGAACGTGAAAAGATTGTTTAACTTCAGAGTGATGGCCATGGCCACCTTCCTGATGTGCGGTCGGCTGGGCACCATCACCGGCGCGGTCGCGTTCCCCGCCCTCATCGAGTACGGCTGCATCCCGCCCTTCATCACGATAGCGGCTGTCCTGGGAGGTATACCACATCACAGTATCGTCTATGCTTTCAGAATAATTTACTTCATTATTTTTATTATATCCTGTACAATCTATGAAACTGATTTTAAATCAAACCACTAGATGGCGCTACTGCCAATCATTCATACAATAACCCTACTTTAATTTAATTTAATAGTAATCAATTTTACCTAATTCCTTTATTGCATATCATAATATACAGTATCCACAACTACCTTAATGTATACAAAAATAATAGGGGTTAAAGTATGAAATTGCCGTTTTATAATAATAGGTACTTCGAATTGACACAGAACCTTCATGGTTTGAGATTTTTGAGTGAAACTTTTTTTAAATGGTACCTATGAATTCCTTCTTTTAAAAATGTGCAACATTCGATTATCGACTTTCAGTTGTTTGTTTTATTCAGCTTAGACAAGAAAGATAGATACTTTGAAAATTCAAGTAATTTTTGAATACTTCCGACGTGGAACTAACGCTGCTTTTTTTCTTCCTACCTAATATGATGATCCATAGAGACCATGCCAGCGTCACTAGGCTAGTAGGTGAGGTCACGGGGCTCCAAACCTGACGATGTTGCTAACACGAACCCTAGCAAGAGCCGTGCTTCACAGAACCTACCACTGGATCGGAAACGCGACCCACTGAGAAAATGCGGCGAGAAACTCAACGGGCTGTGTCTGTGGGTTAATTTACTCGTCGAGCCTTTTGTCGCAAGCGACGGGTTCGACGTGAACGATGACTGGTGCTTGGGGTACCTAAAAGAACCGTTAGTGGATCGGGAGGATGCGAGATGACGTGTCTAACTCTGCAGAAACAGCTCGCAATATCAATGTTGTGTTTGGAGAGGGGACTGCTAATGTGCGCGCCGTGCGATTTTGGTTTAAACGCTTTTGTGATGGAAGACCGCCCACACATATGAATAAGAATGAATTGAAAGAGATGGTGGAAGCCCCAAGCCAAACTATCCGGAAATTAGCGGCATGGTTTAACTTTACTTATGCAGCACTGAAAATTTCGGGAATTAACGAAGTGACACAACATTACTATTTAAAAATGTATTTATTGCTTTTCGAAGTATTCTCCGCGAAATTTGACACATTTTTCCATACGATGGAACCAATCACTGAAGCAACCATTCCATTCGGAAGTTGGGGTCTCCAAAATGGCCGTTTTGTAGGCGTCCACAGCTTCTTCAGGTGATGAAAATCTCTGTCCACGCAATTTATTCTTTATTTTAGGGAAAGTATAGAAATCATTAGGGCTTAGGTCGGGGCTGTACGGCGGATGGTCTAATAATTCTATGTTTTCTTGCTCTAAAAACTCTTTTGTTCTGTGCGCGGTGTGAGAACTCGCATTGTCGTGATGGAGGATGATGCGGCGGTTGCAGTTCTCTTTACGGAGTTCAGAAACGACCTGTGGCAAACAAATGCTAGCATACCATTCTGCATTAACCGTTCTTTGTCCCTCAAGAGGAATAGTCGTAACATGGCCGGTTTTGGAGACAAACGTGGCCACCATTTTTTTTGCAACACTCCGTGAACGAACAATTTTTGTTGGCTTTAACTCATTTTCGAACACCCAAACTCGTGACTGGTTTTTTGTTTCGGGTTCGTACGCGTATATCCAGGATTCGTCACCTGATACAATGTTGTATACAGCATTTGAGGATCCTGCGTGGAATCTTTCGAGAGTTCTGACGCACCAAGTAACGCGAGCCGCTTTTTGCTCTTCACAGAGCGAATGCGGTATCCATCGGGAAAACAACTTTTTTACACCTAATTGTTCATGCAAGATTATTTGTATTTGACTCATGCCAATGTCTAAAGTTGCCTGAATTTCGCGGTATGTCACATGTCGATCTTCCTCAATCAGCTTACGCACAGCATCAACGTTTTCTTGGGTGACTGCAGTTTTTGGACGACCTTGACGGGGATCATCACTGAGCTTGACACGTCCACGTTGAAACTCAGCAAACCAGCGATAAATTGTGGTTTTGGATGGGGCTTTATCACCAAATGCAGAAATCATCCGGTCAACACACTGTTTTTGTGTTAAACCACTTCGAAAGTCATAATAAATCATCGCTCTTGAATTTTCTCGAGTCAATTCCATTTTCTCAACGACTAAACAAGTTTGACAAAACCTCGTGAGAAGACCGAGATTCTTTTTTAAAATAAATAAATGGTATTCGATTTTTAAAACCAAGGAGTTTTCAATTAAAAATATTTTAATATGACAGGAACAGTGGAAATATTCCATTCCCGATACTTTTAGTGCAGCCCTCGTACCTTACTAAGAATATTGATTCGTGTGCGTCAAATCAATAAAATAAAAAATATGAAAAATGGGTGCCTCATGATTTGAATGATCTGCAGCGTGAAGAAGCGTGTGTTGAAACTTGTGTTGCCTTGTTGAATCGGTACAGAAAAGGAAATTGGATCCAATTGTGACATGTGATGAAAAGTGGATTTTTTACTATTACAGTAAGCGAAAAATGCAATGTCTGACCCCAGGTCAAACGCCGCAAAACGGTAGCTGTTTGGTAGTCTCAGCATGGTGTTATTTACTATAGCTTTCTCCGATCTGGTCAAGCAATAACGGCAATGTCTACTGTGCCGAACTCCGAACAATGATAGCAAAACTTGCAGTGAAAGAACTCAGACTCATGAATCGATCTTCACCATTATTGCTCCATGACGACGCGAGACCTCACACAGCACGAGAAATCATTTTAACTTTATAGGAATTTCAATTAGAAACCACTCGTCACCCTCCGTATTCCTCAGACCTTGCTCCAACAATTTTCTACGTGATAAATGTTTTCTTCCCAGAAGACAGTATAAAATGCTTTCACACAGTTTGTAGAGTCTAGATCACCAGAGTTCTATCGCAAAGGCATAAATCACCTACCTATTAGATGGCGAATTTCAATATTTCAGTACAAATCGGTAATTTCATACTTTTTAATCCCTAATACCTAGTATATAAAATGGAACCTAAAGTATTTACGAATATCCGCAGACTCGAGATGCAGATCGCTCCATCCGTTACGACATTACTAATATAGATGTTTGTTACAGTTTGTGGCTGTGCTTGCTACCTGCTGCCAAATACTACCCTGAAGAAATTAGAATAAATTTGAAGGTGAAACAAATATAAGGAGATAATGAAGGATAGTGGAGAGCGAAGCGAGAGCCTCGCCCCTTGTCCGCGACAACAAACCAACTGTAAACGAAATAATCAATAATCTGAACAGCCCGTCTGGTCTAGGCAGGTCTAGGTCGGTCGGTGGTGATGAAGTGTGTAAATAAAAGGTCTGAACTTTTAAAAATATTCCTCTTTTCTTTATTCATAATTTATCATATTTCTAAATTCATCCGTCATCAGTCAGACCCTAAACTTAACAAATAAACTGGTGACTCTCAAGAACAACCTGCTACATATGTTATGAAGTTCTCCTTCGTATTATTTAGATACAAAGGACCGGGAGCCCTTCCCGAAGCCAAAACGATATGAATATTGTCCATAAATAAAACTTAGGTATGCAGTTTCCTCATGAGTTCAAACAACAAATCGGTAACTTGACCATGGCAGGTTCGCAATGTGATAACTTACAAATCTCAGTCGTCAACAATTTTCTTTTCGGGTCTTTGTACATTTACTATACTTAAAAAATCAATGTACAAGGTGCTAAATTCGTTCTTTCAAAATAAAAATAAAGATTTGAAATAATTTTGAATAAAACACACACACACACACACACACCTGTGGGCAGCTTGTGCTCGCTTTACTGAGGGCACAAGATGTTACTAAAGAGCCAAAGAATATTGTTTCCAATAAATAATGTTAAAAGATTATGTTTCATTATCGTTTGGCCTCCGGGAGGGTTAGGTAGTGTTTGTTTAAAGCCCGTTCACGCAGCAATGGACACGTCTCAGCGTCCATCGCTGCACCGGGGGACCGGCCGCACTGGGTTTCATTATAATACACTTATTTTATTTATTTCGATTTGGAATATCATTGATATGGGCACTTTATCTGCAGACATTCAGTTGAATTAACGTAGCTTCACCTAGAAGAGCACTAATATTGTTCGAACAAGTCTCGTTTTCAAAACTGGCCCGATTACTTAACTTTAATCGCAATAAACTAGTGGATAATGACAAAGTAAGATTTTTATAAAGACTAGAATAACATCTTATTGTCGACTCACTTTGTCCGAACTAAACACCCTTACATTCGAGCTTCAATACAAATGTACACTTGCATATTATACACATTTATACATATATACGGTTTATATATACAATTATTCGTATAGGTCAGTGAGAATTGACAGTATTACCCTACCAAACGCACACCGCGACATGCTCTCTGTAAGTACTCAATGCAACACTCGGCCCGCGCGGACTCGGCCACAAATGCTTCACACAGCCTCTACACGAGTTCAACACCTCGCTCGCGAATACGAAAATAGACATATTATAGTGTATCAATAAGTTTTGTATAAAATTGAAATTAATTTGTATAGACTATGCACTATGTATGTACTTAACTTAAACAATTACAGGCTAAAGTAAGGCGTGTTGTATAATTGTATTTAGATTAGATTACAAGTACAGCAGAGTACAGACGCGTCCGGGGCCGCTCGACTCGACTCAGTGCTGCAGCTAAACTCTCAGCGCTCTCACGGTATCATTTAATGTTACGATTAAATATAAAATGGACGGTTACACGTTATTATAGCTCCAATATTATTTGTTTATCTGAGAATTCAGCTTTTGTACAATATGTAAAAACATTAAGGTTGACCGATGTCGTGGTCATTTATGAACACACAGAGACGTGAGGTCGACTCGGGCGGGGCGGAGCGTGCGCCGGCCCCGCTGACGCGGCTCAGCGTCCGCGGCTGGTGCGGTGCTGGCGTGCTCGTTGTGCTTGTTTCGACAAATCGCTATTAGATTCATCGAATAACTGTTTTACATTTAATTTAAGACACCCGTTTTTAGAACATTATTAATTTAATAATTTTAACTTATTTATTTTCATTGTTGTAAATATTGTGCATGCAATACTAATTCATAATTGCTGTAACTTGCATAAACTATGGCTAATGTATAGTACGAATTCATTTCAAATAATTTCAATAAATATAACGTAGGTACTCCTTTAGGTCCACGGAACCCGCTTTGGATTTCAACGTTCCAATTCTTGTGCGCATAAAGTATCATTCACTTTTAGTTTATCACTGTTAGTCGAGAACATCTCGCACGACGCGCGGCTCTCTGCAGTCCCGGGCGGCGCACCGGGCGGCGGGGCTGGGTCAGCTGGGCGGCGCCAGCAGCACCTCAAGCCAACACGGGCACGCTGTGACGTCACGTCGCGAGTACTTTGGCCCCCAGCCCTTCGCGAACGAGATGCGCACCGAGCGGGGGTCGCGCGGCAGGGCGGGGCGCGGCGGGGCGGGGCGCGGCGCGGCGAAGGGGGGCGGCGGGAACACGCGCAGACAGTGGCCGGCCGCCACGCGCCACACCAGCAGCGCCCGCGCCGCCGCCGCGTCCAGCGCCGGCGACGACACGAACACCGGCTCGGCGCCGCGGTTGTACACCCACACGCCGTCGCCCTCCAGCGACAGCGTCACGCCCAGCCCTATCTTGGCACGAGTCTTGCGGACCTGCAACACGCACCACATACTATCATTCATGGCCGTCTTCCACCTGTCGCTGCTGCGGTGGTCGGGTCATGGAATAAGACGTGAACATAAATCGCTGAAAAATCAAGCCTATAATACTGAAAATCGCAATGTACTGATTTACAAATTAGACAAGCTTTCAACTCCGTACCAAATGAATGCGGTCATAGAGACATGAGGTCGAACTTAAGTATAATTACAACAAGGAAGAAGTTCGTGCCGGGCGGTGGAGCCGACCCCCCGCGACCCGCGAGGTCCGAGCGGAGGCGCAGGGAGGCGCAGGAAGGCGACAGGGGCCGCGTTACTATTGTAATATAATTGGCTCGCGACGGCGTCGTGTACATTAGTCGAAGCGGTCTCGGGTCCGATAACCTCTGCCGCGCCGCCTGATAGCGCGCTGCAACGCCGATAACGTCCGCGGCATCGCTCGTCCTCGCGGGGAGCGTGCGAGCCGCCGCCCGACACTCGCACGATCGCGGACCGACCGAAGTCTCGGTACTACGGAGCAGATTAATGCAACAAACTGTCGCTGAGCCCTATTTAATGTTTACTCTGATTATATCAACATGCAGAGTTTGGTCTCTGATGGAACAGTAGACCGAACGTATACATTGGAATCATTACATTCTTCACACGTTTACAATTCTTGTACTGTGTAGGTACTGCTTTGGTCCTTGGACACACACGAGAGATTTTACTGTAGAATATGAGTAGTGAGTCAGTTACGGTAGAGTAATTGAGACACATTGAGTTGAATATATTTAATAAATACAGCCGTGTGTGTGTGCGCGTGTGCTAGTACCTGGTCGGGCTGCGCCAGGTCGGGGCGGTGGTCGAGGCGGTCGAGCGCGTCCAGACACAGGCCGTGCCGGCCGGAGCCGCACGCGCCGCCTCCTCCGCCGAACACGTCCACGGCGCGCATCCTCACGCCGAACTGACGGCCCACGCGCTGCGTCAGCTCCCAGTATGCGAGCCGACACCACTCTGTCTCCCAACTCTGACGCTCTGCAACACCGTGAACATGATGAGTCAGACCAGTCTGTCCGTGTCCACGCCCACGTGACTGGCCCCGGCACAGGTCATACACATCGTCATCGTAACAAATACCTAATCAATTCAGCGCCCTATCGCTAAGAGTCATGTCTCTTTTAAAAATATATTACACTAGACAAATACCTAAAAGGAAGATTGAGCGAAGAGCTCAATCTCCGTTTTCTGATCTCTGAAAATGTTCTCTATACGGAGTGATCGCTGACAACGTGCGGTGTTGCGGATGGATGTCAACATTACGACAAGCATTACTAAACGAAACATAACTTATGATTTTTCAATTTTACTGTTATACGCGTACTGCACCCGCATCGTGAAACTCTATCTTATTTGTATGAAAGGTGCACATTTTGATGTCTATTGAATAGGCAATAAACATTCCTGACCTGACCTAATAATGTCGTACATTACTCTAAACGGTAAAGTGAAGTGAACCGGCGGAGCGGGGTGTCAGTGTGGCGGTGGTGGTGGTATAAATCCCATGAAGTTATGGCGTAACGGTGTGTGGGTGGCGCCGCCGCGTCGGGCTGGCGGCAATCGATCGTCAAGGTTAGTGCAGACACGTGGTGGTGTCGGGATCAATCCTTGCCACCGGGACGTGGTACATTCACACATGACCGTCAGATATTGCTGCGTTCAAGTATCGTTGTCGAGGCTGGACCGGCTGGACACGCAGCTGCATTGGGCAGCAACGGAGTACGGCGAGTATGGCGCGCCGTTCCTTATGTAACGTAGCGCTTTTTATTCACGCGTGGTTTCAGTACTCATCCAACTTTCGAATCTAAGGTTTTTTACGTGTACTCGATTCTTGAGGAGTAAGCTATGACTCACCTTCTCCGTCAGTAGCCATGGAGCCAGAGTCAAACCGCTCGTGGTCTGTCCTCCGCGCGTCTTCCGTGCTCTCTCCGTGATCTGGAAGTAAGATATATCCATCGTTGTATTACATGCAGTACTCAATGTATGAATAATGCGCAATCGAAGTCCTACGGTGAGTGTCGACCAGGACGACCGCTCAGGAGCCGACGAAGGTCTGCCCAGCATACGACAACATTTTAACTTTATGGTGATTTACAGGCGCTTGGAAAATTCTATCAGAATAATATCGTGAGTTTAAACCGAGAAACCCTGGCTAGACAGTTAATAATTGTTTAGTAATGTGATGCACTGTAGCAACCATCCGTCATCGAAGTGGCGTCACGTGTACATCTCGACCGGGTGACGGGTGACGGGTGACGGGTGACGGGCTGCGGACTCCGCCTATATACTTTACTACTTTACGTGTGGACGGCTAGTTGCTTTAATAGTAGATTGACTTAAAGTACATATTTATTAATAAACAATAAGCTAAGCGGCATTTAAAAGATTTTAGAGTCAAAATATTTTGTAAGTATTTACGTAGTTATAATTACGAAGAAACTTATTCCGCGGTAAGTAGTAGTTTAGAAATCCAAACTCATAGAACATTGTGATCCGGACGCGAGGCACACAAACACCAACAAGAAGCTTCAAACACACAGCTACAGGAGACAGCTAGGTGTGTCTGCGGCGACTGGTGAGGCAAGGCGCGTCGTAATTTTAATAAATACATAAGTAATATCGGCAGCAGTACGCGTGTAGTCGGTGGTCGATAACTAGTTTGCGCCCGCCGCGCCACCCGGCCGGCCTCACCTACCTTCTACGAGTAATAACATTTGCATCGCGTCGGCGGTCGCGCGCCGCCGGACACGTGACGCCGGCGCATTGCAATTTGCAACATCTCCTTTGTCATTTTTTGGTACCAAAAAGGGTGTAAACACTTTTAGCATACGCCGGTGACGGTTCCGAACGCATCGTCACCAATGACACTTCCCTGAGCACGGCGGACTGCGACCTCTTGTGGTTACTGTCGCGCGGATTTCGAATAAATATATACATAAGTAAAATGCAGGTAAGTACGTCGCGGAGCATAGACCCCTTAAAATGATAATGTGAAAATGACGATATGTTGACATCACACAATCACTGTAGTAGATATAAATAATTGAAGATACTAGAAGCAAACAGACTGAGGAAATAGCTAGGATGTGAACGGTTTTTATGAAGAAACCCTCAAAAGTCAACATCAGGGTGGTAATGATGGATGAGGCGGTCCCAGTCCCGCGTAGCGAGTTTTGTGATATTGAATTCACTTCTCGTGGCGTCGCGTCACGTAAGTGTCTGCAAGTAGAGTAGAGTGCCTCCTCATCCAGAATGCAGACGACTCTCACATTTGAGTGAAGGACTTGGTAGTGCACTAAGGAGTAGCGTCAGCAGCAAACTGTTTTCAGTTCTTCTGAGACTCGTATCGACGTCGTCCGGCGAACGCACCTGTGTTTACTAGTGCACTGCACAGTGTGTAGTCCGTCAGATTGGATTAGTATGGACATTGCCACTGCTACTATGGCAACGCTACTGTTTATTAACTGGACATCAATATTATAAGCCCAACCGGTCACGTGACCTGTCACCACGCACTCATTACTTTTGTGTTTCTTCTTTTAGAATTCTTGTTAAGAAGTAGGGATCCTTAGTATAACACTAAAACGATCCAGTCCTAGTGTTGACGAAGGTTTATTAAATAAAATGCGCCACAAAATGTCGGCTCGACTAACATTTGACCTTTTGTTTTCTTTTTGGAAGATGGTGACAGCCACTGCGTTGCCAATAAATACGTTTTATTTGAGCTATACGTTATCAAATTTCCAAAGACGAAGCCACTGACCTTACTGGACTTACATCCGTCCGTCTGTTTACGAGTCAGTTTCTAAAACTCTTGATTGTAGCTTTGAGCAGCAGTATTAAAAGTTCGGCTTAACTCAGTTCGGAGGCACTCGGTACATGCAGGTACAAGGTACCAGTGTCTTCTCCTTCCTATTTTTATTGAATCAACACAGTGACACGTCCATTCTACTCAAAGTCCTACGGTGACCAAATATACGCATATTTGATTTGAAACGACTTTTAATTATTCTGTAATTGGATTGTTAATGAAATAAAACTATTAGATCCAAAATTACTTAGTCTGGCCATAAATACTGTTACAATTAAAAATAAACAAAATATTACATTTAAATTTGGAATCTGTCATTTTTATATGATTGCTCATTGAGTTTTCTCATTTTGGCGCCAGTACATTGTACGATATTTTGCGATATTAAAATGGAGTGGGGTGAAAAAGAGAACCGAATCGCTGTGATTGCATTACACAAAGTGGGTATGGAGCCAAATGCAATATTTAAAATTCTCCATACGCTTGGTATTAGTAAAATGTTTGTGTACCGGGCTATTAATAGGTGCAATGAGACCTCCTCTGTTTGTGACAGAAAAAGATCTGGCCGTCCACGTAGTGTTCGTACGAAAAAGGTGATCAAAGCAGTAAGGGAAAGAATTCAAAGAAATCCTGTCTGAAAGCATAAGATTTTATCTCGGGAGATGAAGATAGCACCTAGACCCAGAGTTCAAATATAACTATATAGAGGAGCAAACCTCAGTACCTACCTTGCGTACACAAAAGTGTAGCCGCTTTATGCGACGACGATGTAGCTTTGAAACTAATAAACATTCTATCTCTCTTACTCTAGTTCACTAGTTACGCGGCGTATCGTTAGTTGGATAAAGATGGTAATATTTCTTGAAGCAGAACGATTTATGTTGCTTGCTATAAGAAATATTTCGCCAGAATATTTATTATTTAGGCGAAAATTAATAAATAAAATAATTTAACTAAAATAATTTTGAATAAACTTAAATGAAGTTTTTTTTTATTGCTTAGATGGGTGGACAAGTTCAATAATAATAATACTAATAATTTATAATTGTGTAATAATTGTATTGTGTGTTTTTTTCCTTTTGAGCCCATTATTCAAAGAATGGTGACTGAATGAATGTATGGCTGAAATTGTACAGATTTTCATGAAACTGTCTACAGTTTATTTAGGTTCTGGAATAGGACACAGTATATTTTTATCCTACGGAAACGGAACCAAAGAAAGACTTTATTGTCTTTTCCTTTATTTTTCTACAGTTTGGAATACACAAGTGACATATTAATTTCGTGTAAATGTGGGATCATACGCGGGAAAATGCACGGATGAAGAGATTAGTTTAATGTGTACCGCATTATTTTTTTATTCAGGCGCATATTCAGAAACCATTGTGGTAGCCAGAATCAATTTGATGATCTGCCTCGAAAATTTCTGGATTTTATTAATATAAACATTTCCTATAATCATTCGAAAACCAAAAGATGTTTTACTGGCAATACTGAACCTTAATTTCATAGCCTTTTCTTTATGATCTTTAAAATCAGTTTTTGTTTTATTTACAATGAAAACCAATACAGAATTGATAAAATTATGTGTGAAAAGTAATCCCGCTTGCCTTTTTGTGTATTTCCGACTTCGAAAGGCACTCTTTCGCAAAAAATTTAGCCATTTTTCAGGACTTATTACTTGGACGACGGCACGCAAGTAGCTGTATCATGTAGTGTATCAAGATACCATTATTGAGAAGGTAGTGAAGCCCCTTAACAACATCATGTTCAATAATCAAGAATGGTCCTTCCAGCAAGACTCGGCGCCAGGTCATAAAGCTCGGTCTACGAGGGCTGCACTAAAAGTATCGGGAATGGAATATTTCCACTGTTCCTGTCATATTAAAATCGTTTTAATTGAAAACTCCTTGGTTTTAAAAATCGAATACCATTTATTTATTTTAAAAAAGAATCTCGGTCTTGTCACGAGGTTTTGTCAAACTTGTTTAGTCGTTGAGAAAATGGAATTGACTCGAGAAAATTCAAGAGCGATGATTTATTATGACTTTCGAAGTGGTTTAACACAAAAACAGTGTGTTGACCGGATGATTTCTTTATTTGGTGATGAAGCCCCATCCAAAACCACAATTTATCGCTGGTTTGCTGAGTTTCAACGTGGACGTGTCAAGCTCAGTGATGATCCCCGTCAAGGTCGTCCAAAAACTGCAGTCACCCAAGAAAACGTTGATGCTGTGCGTAAACTGTTGAAACTGAGGAAGATCGACATGTGACATACCGCGAAATTCAGGCAACTTTAGACATTGGTATGAGTCAAATACAAATAATCTTGCATGAACAATTAGGTGTAAAAAAGTTGTTTTCCCGATGGATACCGCATTCGCTCTGTGAAGAGCAAAAAGCGGCTCGCGTTACTTGGTGCGTCAGAACTCTCGAAAGATTCCACGCAGGATCCTCAAAATGCTGTATACAACATTGTATCAGGTGACGAATCCTGGATATACGCGTACGAACCCGAAACAAAAAACCAGTCACGAGTTTGGGTGTTCGAAAATGAGTTAAAGCCAACAAAAATTGTTCGTTCACGGAGTGTTGCAAAAAAAATGGTGGCCACGTTTGTCTCCAAAACCGGCCATGTTACGACTATTCCTCTTGAGGGACAAAGAACGGTTAATGCAGAATGGTATGCTAGCATTTGTTTGCCACAGGTCGTTTCTGAACTCCGTAAAGAGAACTGCAACCGCCGCATCATCCTCCATCACGACAATGCGAGTTCTCACACCGCGCACAGAACAAAAGAGTTTTTAGAGCAATAAAACATAGAATTATTAGACCATCCGCCGTACAGCCCCGACCTAAGCCCTAATGATTTCTATACTTTCCCTAAAATAAAGAATAATTTGCGTGGACAGAGATTTTCATCACCTGAAGAAGCTGTGGACGCCTACAAAACGGCCATTTTGGAGACCCCAACTTCCGAATGGAATGGTTGCTTCAATGATTGGTTCCATCGTATGGAAAAATGTGTCAAATTTCGCGGAGAATACTTCGAAAAACAATAAATACATTTTTAAATAGTAATGTTGTGTCACTTCGTTAATTCTCGAAATTTTCAGTGCCGCCT